AACTTGAACAATTTTGAATTTTAGGATATTGTAAAGTTATATATTTCTTTAAAAAAAACACTGTACCGGTTTAAAACGCGATATTCGACGCTTGCGTCCAGCCGTGGTCGCGAGGAGACACGTAATTAAAATAATTTTCAAACAAGTTTAACCAATATATATCGCGTTTTAAACCGTTAGTGTTGTTGTTTTTTTAATGTGTACTCCTCACATCTTTAACTTATTCCCGATGTACAGGTTTTAAATATTTCCTAGGGGAAGAAAATTTATCGATGTTTATTGTACCGTGTACATTATTAACAGCTGTTTTGAAATTGTAGACACATAGAAAATGTTATGTGGGGATCGAATACCGTTTTACTGTATCTTTTACGTCGTCGCAGATAAAACGACGAGTCTCTAATAACGTTAGGAACTAGATCGTAGATGAAAGAGATGCTTTTATCGTCCTCTAGTACGCTCAAAACTAATTGTTAGTCATCCGTAAGTTTGATAGATATGATAAATTTCGTTTTAGCCTATCGTGTCGCACTACCGGACATAGATCTATTTTACAAGAGAGTTTCACAGCTTCTGTAGCTAAAAGATTAAACATGCTGCCTAGCATTGAGTTAAGCGCGAGAGATCCTGGGTTCGAATTCGGGGAAACAATAAATTGTTTCGGTCGGGCAGGGTACAGAAGTCTGATCAACTACTGTAAAAAAAAACCCGATCAGTGAAACGGACACAGAAATGTATTCGCCCCATACCCCACGAGGGGAAACGGGATTTTACACTCTTTTTTTGACAGCTTATACTCGACTTAAACGAGTCAAGTAGATAATATTTTTTTTAAATCGAAATTAAATTGAAAAACTTTTCTATTCGGGCTCTAACCAATTGAGCTACCGTGTCCTATACGTCATCGTCGAATTTTTTCTACCCATTGATACTTGCACCTCTCGCGCTATGTTTTTTCAATCTTAACTAACGGAATGAAAGTTATCAAATCTACAATATTTATTGATAATTGAAATAAAGCTAACAAAGTCTCTTTAAGCAAAATTGCAAATATAAGAGGATCTGGCTTCGAATTCTAATGAAACATTAAATTGAAACGATCATCGAAATTAACAGAGAAATGTATACTCCCCATGACCCACATGGGGCAACGGGATTTTACTCTACTTTGTGACTTGTAAAAACCGAAATATACTGTCAACCTTTTTGAAGATTAGGGATTTTTACCACGTCTGATTTGAATAGGATATATATCCATGCTCGACGGAACAAAGCGAATAAAATCCATGTGATGAGCTGCGATAAATGAGGATTGTGGCAGGAAATACCTCCGTATAATCCTACGGGAAATTGTGCGACCGTAATGTAGGAATCAGTCTGCAATCGCCTATGTCCTGACACGCGACCTAATTTGTCCCAGCGAACCTGTAAAGGCTGAAGTAATAAAGGCCTTATCTTTATCGTGATTTTATTGGAAATAAAAATGTTAATATCGCTAGTAGGCTCAGCGTTACCCGTGAAACAGATTTAATTGCTGGAATGTTTTCCTCATCGTGATTTTTTTGCATTTGTTTTCTAATAATATTTCATGGTAGTAAGTACCCTATAGCATTATACACGATGCGCTGTCGATCTATATTGGCTTTGGATATTCGGAAATCCACAGACTGAAACTGAAACGTGTTTAAATTTCACGGCGTTTTCATCTTTGGACGGAATTTCTATAGTGCTACCACCCATATTCAGATTTCCAGACGAAGTCCAACATGTATCAGAATAATTATAAATCGCACCTCTCGCAATGTGATTTCAACCTTAACACTTGCGTAGTTATCGATTTTTAGTATTAACTACCTGTGCCAGCGACTTTTTTGTAAACACTGTCATCTTTATAAACTTAAGCTATTAGCCACGATGTCGATTGCGTCCCTTCCCGTCGTTCTTGCAAGTTCATCTTATAAGATAGACATATAGCAGATTTTTATTTAGATAATTTAAAGAGGAATCATTCTTTCATACAGAATTTTTAGGTATCTTGAACCGTTTTCGCAGCGTGCGCACCTGAACTTCACAGAGATGAAAAATTTCCCCCGTTTTGTTCACATATCCAGCTGTATCTTCACTTCTATTCACCACAGCGCGATGTTTTATAGCCTTCCTCTATAAATGTTCTAACCATGACAAAATTTTTTTTTTTTATTTGACCTCGTAGTTCCTGAGATTATTGCTATCAAACAAACAAACTCTTCAGCTTTATATATTAGTATAATAATAGTAGATTATTTTATCTCGAATCTATATCTAACATAAAAAGACAGGACCTGTTTGGTCTACTTTACTATAAACTCCCTTAGTTTCTAGTAAATTTACATTATTACTGTTGTGAAGTGACATTTTTACTCGTATATAATATATACATATTATGTAACTTTAAAAATGACGCTATCAAACAGTGCGTTGGTATTTAACTTAGATGACAAATAATATAGTCCAGGAGCACATTGCTATATAAGGGCGGCTTTTCTTATTTGGCACTGATTTATACACCTTTCAGAGAGATGCTCATAAAAGAGATATAAGATAAAAAAATACACTGGTGTAGTATATAATTTTAAATGGTGTTAAAGTAGTGGATAACATAAACGTTTAGTTTTAATAGAATGACGAAGGTTTTTTCGTCATTGGCTCTTGGTCTACTTACTACCAGCATACTTAAAACGAAGTAATTACCAACTTAGTCAATACTCTGTCATATACACTGCGTATCGTTCATTTGAGTTAACTGGCTGTGTTTGACTTGTGTTCATTTACTTTTGCTCGAGTGTGATTAAAAATGTCATAAGTTTTTAGTTGACTACGTTCTCTATCTCATTCATGTCATATGCCAAGCTTTGAACTCAAATTCAAATAATTAATTCCACACCAAAGAATATTCTAATAATAGAGAAATTTTGTAATTATTTATATAAAAAATAGGAATACATTAATGGTTTAGCATGACATGGCATACACTAACATTGCTGTAGAAGGACATCACTTAGCTGTTACTGCAACAACGCATTTGTTGCAGCGCTGATTTTCAGTGATGCTCCATGGATGACATAAGTGGCAGCCAGACAGCAACTCTAGGAAATACTTTAATAAGAATGTTTTTCCAAAATTTGTTAGTTTTTGCAAAATAATAGAACATCTACTCATAAAAATTAAAAAGAATTTAATAATGTTGAATTTCGAAACTATCTTCGTCAAGATCCTAATGGCTCTGTCATTACACTTTCATTGCGTTTATAAAACTAAGTGGCTATACTTCGCGGCTTTGTCAACTATGCCTTTGTACACACAGATTTCCATGGAAATTATGAATTAGCCATTATGTTGTCAGTCTTGACATAGTTACAGAAAACACAATACCACTTCTTACAAAGAGGTTTACATCGGTCGGATAGGTCGGATAGTCAAATGCACTTATAATTACTCACGTGACAACGTCAAAACGCACGAAAAAACATGACGCATGCGACGTTACCTTGCTCTGAGGCGTTCCATTTAAGGCTTGAAAGTGCAAGCGAGAGCGTGAACCAGCGACAGAGAGACATCCGTGTTCGATATTTGTCTCTCTATTACTTGAATAAACGAAAAGAAACTACTAAATATCTTTTAAAAATCGAATTATAAATTGAAAAAAAAAATCGACTCAGGCAGGACTTGAACAGGCATCGTCAGCGTTCCGTGCTGTTGCTCACAATACAAAATATCTATAAATGAAGTAAAATTGAAACATTGTTTTAAATAATAAATCATTTTTCATTTTCATCAGATTTTCGTATGACGTCACTTTCAACTATCGTCAGTGAAACGACCAAACCAATTTTTTATAACTTTTTAAACTAGCAACTTAACACTATCGTATGCACGTTACTCTGATAATTGACAAGATCGCATATAAAAATCTATAAGAGCTAATTTGATCTCATTTAATAAAATTCCTTTATACTCAGGTCAGAGAATATATATCTTTATTTATAGTTAAAATTCTATATCTATACCAACGTTACAACAAGCTAATATTCTATACAAAACAAGTACAGAAAACATTGCCGCAAACTTTTCTATAGGCGTTTTCCTAACTTGTCACACATTCGTAGAAGTGACCTAAATAAACTATATTTGTATAAGCGCCGCCTAATCTCAGATTAGCCATTGTCTTTAATATTCTGAATTTGAATTTAACCGATTAAATCGCGGGAAACTATTGATTGAAAGATTTATAGAAACTTATATCGAACACGGTAATTCCTGACAAAATCAATTCTGCTATTTACATTTAAAACCTTAAAAGATAGAAATTATAGATAAAAGTTTTTAAAGGAGAAACGTCCTAATTTATTAAGAACACTTTTTAATCATTCGTTTTTTACTCTACTTCGATAGCCATTTATTTACACTCAAATATTTTTGAATTCAAATCGATACCTGAAGACCCGCCACTACGTCTACTGTTTAAAATCCGAAACTCATTGTAGTTGAAAATAAATTAACGAATATATTTCTCGTTTTAAACCTTTAAAGTCTTTATTAAACTTCGGAACACAATAAAGGTATTTTGGAAAATAATTACTCGTCACTGTTACTCCTATTAATCTAAGGAGGCTGTGTTTTGTTTAGCCTTACTGAAGCTATGGATTGTACGCTAAGTATTTTTTAAATTTAGAACGTGTGCTAGGAATATAGAAATTCCGTCCGGTGTCACGAACCACCGTCCACAGGTGGAAAAGCCGTGAAATTCAATCGAGTTTCGATTTTAGTCTGTGGATTCGAATCTAAATCGAATATCTAAAGCCAAAAAAGACGGGGCAAAATTGTTGAGATGCTATAGGCTGGGTAATATCATATACCATTAAGTGAACGCCGTGCTATGTCTGCCCCCCTCTATCAATAAAACAAAAGAATCTTTCGTATAAACGAACTTTTAATTATAATATCGTTTCGTTTGTTATCAGGTGGAACTAACAATGCACGACGGTACTGTACGCGACGTCTGTTTCATAGAGGACACATCGAACACAACCAGCCTTTTAGTGAGCGGCGGAGCCGGTGACTGCAAAATATATGTCACCGACTGCGCCACGGGAAAGACATTTCAGGTACCGCGAGCCGTTTCAAAGCTTTTAAGCACATTCCCTGGACGCTTTAGCACATAATTTAGTGAGGCGGAGAAATCTCGGATGTTTGTGAACATACCGCATAAGCATTGGTAACTCGTTTGGATTGTTAATGTTTTGCATGTTATGGCACTGTTTTGAGTGGTATTTGAATTATTAATTTAATATAGTACTATAGACTTATAAATTTTGAATTAATTTAAATAGTGCTAGCGCAATTTAATGTTTGGTTTGCATCTCGAAAATGCAGGTGATTTTTAATTGAAATGCATAAATCATCGCCTACAAAACTTACCGCCTACAAAAAGGTCTGGTGAAGTTAAGGTACGAGATTCGAAGAAGGGTAGTCTAATATGTCAGTCTGTGAAAGTAGGAGAATATTATCTGTGTGTCGTACATTTTTATTCGTATTTCCGGATGTCCATAAATCCTGGATCTGTTAAGACTTACAAATAATTTATTTGGCAGTCCCTCACTGGACACTCCGGACACGTCCTCTCCTTGTATAACTGGGGCGGAGCGATGTTCGTCTCTGGGAGCCAGGACAAGACCGTCCGCTTCTGGGATCTACGCACTGGTGGCTGTGTGAATATAATATCTCCACCGATGGGCCATCCTAGCAAGGTATTACAATTGTTTCTCTAGTCCTCTCTCTTAGTGACCGACCGAAACAATATATTATTGTCCCAGGACTAACGCGATAGTGTCGCGGACATTTTTTTACATCGTTTAAAGTGAATAGAATCATTCTTTCAGACATATTTTTTGTGTGTGAACCGTTTTCGCAGCATGCGCATCGGAAACCCACAGAAATTAATAACTTCCCCGTTTTTTCCACATTTCCCGTTGTTTCTTCGCTTTCATCTGTCACAGATCATCACGCAATGGTTTATAGCCTTCCTGGATAAATACTCTAACCAACACAAAGGACATTTTTAATTCGAACCAGTACTTCCTGAGATTAGCGCGTTCAAATAAACAAACTCTTCAGCTTTATATATTAGTGTAGACTGGATTTCTTTTTTTTTAACTTTGGTGTACTTTTAAATTAGGGTTCCGCGGTGGCATCACTAGCAGTGGACCCGAGTGGCAGGCTTCTGGTTAGCGGACACGACGACGGTTCCTGCGCGTTGCACGACGTGCGCGGGTCGCGGTCCCTTCAGCGCTTTACAGTTCACTCCAGTGACGTCAGAAGTGTTCGCTTTTCACCCGGCGCCTACTATCTCCTCACTGCTGGTTACGATGGAAGAGTTATGCTCACTGACCTCCAGGGTAAGTTTGAATCTATTAAATAATCTTATTAACTTATTAATAAAACACTTTAACGTGACATATATTAGTTAAACTTATAAGAAAATTATTCCAACTACGGTGCGACGTTTCGGATGCTTTGCAGCAGCTTTGCAGTTTTAAACTGTGTAAAGTGTTTTATTTAAATGAGTACTACTCGCGTAAACTACAGACGGTATTTAGTATTAGCCTGACGTGGGCGTGCATTAAGCATTCACAGCATCAGTAAAAAAAAGGAAAAATTTTAGACCCGGTGAGGATCGAAATCACCACCCGTTGATTGACATAGCTACCATTCTTTAGTCCCCCTGTGCCTACGGCGACTGCAAAGCTTCCGAATCATCGGGTCATATTATGTTACTAATATGTTTTGCGATTAAACTGTTAAAAGTGTCTTATTAGCATGCTATTTGCGTGAACTATATATATAGTCAATATCATTTTTTTACATCGCTTTCTTTGTATTATTCCCCAAAATGCTAATTATGCGACAGCATGTTTTGTACAAAACAAATATCTTCGTTGCTTCCAATCAATCAACGTTATCGCTAAAGTAATTTATGGCGTGTCAAACGGTGAGAAATCAAACGGTGGGTATGAGTGAAGGTAGCTGTCTGCCTCTAGACAATTAATGTTCCTGGTGTATATATACAGGTATGTGAAGCCGGGTACTCACCGGCGCCTTGTAAACGCCACCTACTTTAGTAGTATATCTTAAATATCAAGTAGTATCCCGTGACTTCGCCCGCCTTGGATAGTTATTTTGGCCATCTAAATTTAGCCTTGCCAACTTCATCTTTATAAATTACTATCTGTGCCCGCGACTTCGTCCGCGTGGAATAGTGACTTGGGGTAGAATTTTTAATTATTTAGAATAAAAATAAAAAACTGTGAAAATCTAAAATATCTGTGTACCGAATTTCATTGAAATCAGTTCAGTACTTTTGACGTTAAAGGCGGACAGACAGAGTAACTTTCGCATTTATAACATTGTTATAGATATCTCTTGCTCGTCGGCATAATGGTTAATAACGGCTCGTTGGTTCAACCAATCGGGTCTAACATTTTTCTAATTAATTTATATTTTTCTAAAATCTGTCACGAACCACTTAAGTTTAATCGCGATTCGGTTTCAGTCTATTGATATCTAAATATCCAAAGCCTCAATAGGTCAACGGTGCATCTTGTTTAGACGTTATATGACTGGGGTATTACACATACTAACACCCCCCTCGGGGCACCCTTGGTCTAGTCAAACACGGCCAAACGCCCGGTTAGTATTCGTGGCTCCATAGGAACACAATACGTAATAGTCAAGTCAAGTCAAGTCAAAAAAAAAACATACTAACAAGTGAACCAACCCCATGCTTATCTGTTCTCTATGTTATTCTATTATACATTGACGGTTGAAAAAAATTGACATTTGGTTAGAGCGACAGCACAGAACGCTAACGATGCCGGTTCAAGTCTTGCCCGAGTTCAATTTTTTTTTTAATATTTTCGTTTTTTTTAATGTCGATATAAATCAATTCAATCAACAAAGGAAATAGTTCCCATCCCCTACACACCAGTTCTTATTAGCGTCAGTTATAACTTATAACGCACCCTCATTCAGGAGGGTGTGTTCAATAATACTTAACAGTAATCGAAGGTGGTCCAACGTTAATCATAGTGAACCAAATTTATTAAGGCATTAGTTGTTCGTATATTTTTGCGAGACTTTTATTGGCATTATTATATACAGCCGAAACTCTATAGTCGCAATGGCCAGGTCGCGTAACCTATACTAATATATGAAGCAAAGCCAAAACAGTTGTGTTTGTTTGTTTGAACGCGCTTATCTCGGGAACAACTTAATTTTGTGTAAGGTAGAGCATTTATCGAGGAAGGCCTAAGCTATATAGCATCGCGTTGTGGCTAATAGGAGCGAAGGAAGTATCTTGAACCATTTTCGCAGCGTACGCATCGGTAACCAAAAGGAATAATTTTCCCCGTTCTTTTTTTTTCACATTTCCCACTGTTACTTCGCTTTTATTAAATGATCAAGCTGTTTTTATATATTGCGTCATACTTGCTACAACGATCCGTATGCAAGAGAGCGGGAAAACAAAAAACGTAATGATTTTACATATACTACCAACATAAGACAAAAAGAGTAAACAGTCCTCTCAACGTTAAATCAATGTAATGACATTGCACAGATTATCTAACAAGTTGAAGCGGGATTTTATAGCCTTCCTCGATAAAAGCTGTAACCAATACAACAATAATTTTTAATTGAAGCTTTTATTAGTCTTCAGACGAATAGATTATACTAAACATTGCATTTTTTGTCACCGGTCGCTATTCAGTAAAAGCTCACTGAATCCTCCACTTACTCGAGTGTCATCTCAATTTGCTTTTATCTAAACAATTTCTAGAAATACCCACAGCGGAATGCCAATTCTGTGTAGTCCCGGTTCATGTTGCAAAGTAAAGATGTTTGTTATTCTCTAAAGTGATATTATTCGGTCGGTTCTCATTACAACATTTGGAGAGTGACGCGAAATCTTTGTGTGATGATGAAACTTTTACAGCTCACATAGCATTGTACACAAACATCGTTCAATCGTTGCGTTGAAGAAGTCCTGTGTTCGAATTGAACTGTATATAGTAAATGCGTATATGTCTACATAATCGGCACTTATTTTAATTATATAGATGACTTTTTTTTAAATACTATATTCATAACATTCTTATGAATGGCTGAATTGAAAAATCAAAGTTTGGTAAGTTCGAATTATGAATTAGAAAGAAAGTTCATGGCAGACAAAGGTATCTTTTTTTACTTCTAAAATCTATCATGTGGACGCATCAGTTTGTCTGTCTCAAGCCCTACAAATGATTATAATGTATCTAAAATGTTTATTCCGTTACGTGTTTAAAAAGTTTATTATAACAAGAGTGTTGCCCTACCCGCGTCACGTCTATATTTTATCATTTATTAGCTTTTAAATTATGCAAAAAGTTACATGCAAATTGACCCATTTTTTCAGACATCCGCTGACATTCGCATATTCCACAATAACGCTGCGACAAAAAATCTCCAGTAATGAAGTATGCGAGATTCAAATTGCGTAATCAAAACTTTTTCGAGCTGAAATCTTAACTTTTTTCTAACGCGACGTTTCCAAATTTGAATTTCAATTACAGAACTTGTAATAAAACTTGAAATTAGAATAGTAGTCTGTAGTTTTTTAAATGATTTTGTAAAACTTGAAAAAAAAACCTTAATAGTTTTTTTTTTAAGTTGTTTTTAAATTATAAAAGTTTTTTTAGTTTTTTTTATGCTTATAGCATATGTATACAACTTGCTGCGCCTCGTAGGTTCACCCGACTTATTCCAGTACTCCTTGAAACCAAATTTTCCGTAAGAAAAAGCCTTACCATAATTTTATTATATTGTTATATTAGATGTTTATACGATTTCGTCATATCTTTCTTACAGATCTAACAAGCTGTAGTAGAAAAAGATGTTTTTGATTTTAACTTTTCTCTTTGTAGACAAAAAGCTTCTGATATTGTTATACGCAAAACAAAAGAGTTAAGTTGCGATCATTTTGAAGTAATATTTTAAATTTAAGGTGAGAATTTCGTAAACTTTTAATAGTTTATCATCTAACAGTGACGGTAAAAATATCAACTTTGTATTAAAAAAATATGTCTTATTTTATGGTAGAGGAGGAGGTACGTCTATAGAATGTCTTATTATTTTTTAGTCGAATAAATTTAACAGTCTGGAAGTATTATGATAAAATAAATATAAAAAAAGAACTTTTGATATTAGACAATGCGCACCAAAACCACAAAGGAATGAAAAGGAGATTTTTTTAAATAAATGAAGACATTGCTTAACATTATTACTTCTGTCGCACTGGGTACAGAAGTTCAAACCACTTGTCTGTAAATAAGATCGATCAGTGAAACAGACACAAAAATTAGCTTTGCGTAATAAGCGGGACTTTGAAATGTATATACAGGATGCTGTGAGACGTTAATAATAATATGATATGACTTAGCAAGTGTTGAGTATATTTGCAAAATTTCACCAAAATTGGAGTAGTAGTCCATTGGGTGCAAGAACTCTTGGGGCCAAATAAATTACTATGTAAAATTATACTTGTCGTCTAATTTAAAAATGGAATGATCTTCTACTCCGCAACATGGCGACCAAAGAGGTAACTTATCAATGGTTTAATTTAAATTTCGAACTGGCTGGCACATAGGCAGCTGTTTAGTAAAAAGATTAGCTTCGCCCTTATAAACTACTGTTATTAGTTGTTCGTCAAGTTTATCATTGGTTTTAAAGTTTTGTATTGTACAACATATTTAAATAAAACACTTTAACGGTTTAAAACGCGATATATTAGTTAAACTTATTTGGAAATGAATTTGTGTCTCCCCGTGACCACGGCTGCTGCAAAGCATCCGAAACGTCGGGCCGAAGTTAAAAATATCCAAATAAGTTTAACTAATATATCGCGTTTTAAACCATAGACAGTGTTTTATTTAAATGTGTACAACTTGTGTGTAGTTTCAATTTCCGCGTAGTATTTAAATAAAGTATTAAACTATCATTGGCCGCAACTAGGCATCGATGGACTTATATTGGCCGCTGCTGTAATATTTTATTTTCACAAGTATAATCTGCAGTTAAAATTAACGTGATAACTCTGAAAGCAACCTGTATGTAGATAGAGATTCGTGAAAAGGTAATCGTAATCTTTCGATTCGCTCGGCTAGAGGCCTGTATCGTTAATTTCTTGGGTAATGTGGAATGTGAGGCTGGGAAATCAATCGTCGCATTACGCCTGGATCGTTCAGATAAGAGGATTGTGCTGGATAAAGGGAACATTATCCCGATAATACATTATTCATCGCGCTACTACGATTACATAACATTTACAATAACAATGCTATATATGCTTTCTCTCATACGTCGAACGAAATAATCTTCGGCAAAGTCAAAACTATGACCGGTATTCATGTTATCAGCCTCTTGACAGTCCCACTGCTGGGACTAAAAGTTTACTTTATTTTATACTTATCACGCTCGATGTTTTTTAATGATAAAGAAGGACAGACGAGCATAGGGCTACTGATGGTAGGTGTAATACACCGACCTATATCGTCTAAACAAGATATACTGTCGACTAATTTTTGGCTAGTAATATTCGGAAATCCACAGACTTAATCCGAAACGTGATCAAACTTTACGGCTGTTCATCTGTCAACGGTGGTTGTGTGACTCGTGAGGGTTTTAGATATTCCCACCATCCATTTAATATCCAAATTTCCAAACGAAGTCCAAACTGTTTCAGAAAAATGTTGAACCCGGCGGGGATCGAACCCACGACTCTAAATTATTAGCCGTATAATGCTACCATTACACAACGAATAACACCACTTCGTTGGATTTATTGTTCTAGAAAATGTTATTGCTGGGAAGCGTACTCCCGATCGAGTTTATAGACATAGACATTGCTGAACCAACACGTCTGTTTAACGTCACATATTTTAAATCTGTTTATTTTCATCTGATCACATAGGACATTGAGGATATTCCATGTATTGAAGCTTATTAACGTATGTAAATCTTCACTTCACTGAATGATAAGCCTTACTGACGGAATTATATATAATGCCTAAGTTAATAGCGTGGTTCAATACGATTGTATCCTATGAATCTAATAATCCTATGAATCGAATATACAAAAGGAAGGTAGATCCCTAGAATAAGTTTTTCGTGAAATTTCTAGACCACCGTCTTCCAAAGCTTTTTCGTGTGAGCCACTTTTTGTCTTTGATTTGTTGATTGTCAACTTAGTAATCGTGTTTATTAGTTTATTTTTTATATGTAGAGATTCTTTGTTTATTTGATATTAGCTGCGTCTTCGTCCACGTAGAATAGTAATTTTGGGCAACCAAATTTCTTTTTGCAAACCACTTTTCATCTTTATAAACTTAAGCTGCTATCCACGACGTCAGTCGCGTCCCGTCATTCTTGTAAGTTAAAAGATTGACATTAGATCGTTTAAGGGAAATCTTTTTTGGATATTTTGAACCGTTGTCGCAGCGTATGAAACGAAATACCCCGTTTTTTCAACATCTCCGGCTGTGTCTTCGCCCCTTATAAGTCGCAGCGCGATGTATACAGCCTATGACCTTCCTCGATAAATGCTCTAACTAACACAAAAAGAAACTAACTCTTCAGCTTTATACATTAGTATAGGAGAGACAAATTAATTGCCTCTGTACATCTTTTAATTTTCAACATTAATTAAGACTTAAGCCGCTTCGAAACAATGCGTTCTCTGTACTAATGAGCGTTTCTTTTTGTTCCAGGAGACCTCACATGCGCCCTATCAAGCGTCGCAATAGCTAGGCACCCGGACAAAGTAATCTCAGCTAGATGGCACCCAGACGACTTTTCATTCCTCTCCACGTCGGCCGACAAGACCGCGGTCCTCTGGACCATACCGCCTATGTAAACGCCGGTAATCCGACTTTTGAGATCAAGCTGATTTATACCGTACGATTAATATTAGATTAACAGTATTCATTGTATCGAATCGATTTAGCATTTCCCTTTAGGGTTTAGGAGAGTTCTATCTGCTCTTGGTCTTATCGGAAAGTGCTAGTGCTACTTACGTTTCGAGCTATTTGTGTGTTATCGCCATCACGTCATCTTCAGGAGATTCAAATAATGCACTTTAACGGTTTAAAACGCGATTATATATTAGTTTAACTTATTTGGAAATTGTTTTAACTACAACCTGACGTTTCGGACGCTCTGCAGCAGCCGTGGTCTCGGGGAGCGTTTTAAACCGTTAGAGTGTTTTTTTTAAATATGTACTGCACGCGTAAACGACATACAGTATCTTCAGGAGATGTCAGTACAACTCGACTAAGCGTAGAGCTCGAAAACTCGAGTAGCATTGCAGAAGTCGAAAGCCTTAGTAGTATTAATAATCATGCCCATGTTTGTTTGCCTATTAACAGATTCAGTATTTTCTTGAATACACAACGTATAAATGCGTATATTCTCAATGTTAATAACTATTGTTAAGCGTCAATCAAATTGTAAGTGTATTTAACGATGCTTTAATTGTAATGGCTTGTGTGCTGCGAATCCGACTAATTTGGAGTAAAGCTAACGAAACGAATTAATGTAAAGACGTTGAGGGCCGCAAAACATTTTCTTCAAATAACCTCTGTGTAAGACAAGATGGATCGTTTTGTTCTTGTTCACAAAATGGCGGACCGAATGTTGACAACGGCTTCACAGGATATATCACAAGTCACGTAACGACATCTGTTATCGATAACAGATTGCATTTGGCTTTGCTACTTTATACTGTATGCATGGATGACTATAGATGTAAAAAACGCCATCCCAAGCGTAAGTTAGTAACGGTCAGATTCTTTACGTGCCTGTCATGTTTCGTTGGCTCCACTATAAACTCTTATGATTTATGTTTGTTTAACTCTTATGATTAATCGGAATTGATAAGTGTGCACAAAAATATGTCGCAAATAGTTCTTATGTTTAAATAAGCTTGTAAATAATATCGCGGAGATGAGGCATTATCTACTACTTTTTTGTCACAAACATACGTAGATTTGCATATGTTTTCTACTTAGGATGTAGTTTTTGTAGAGCGGTTACTGCATTCGTTTCGATTCTGTACTAGTTGTGACATTATTTACGTTATAAACAAATGAACCACGTAATTTCTCTTAGTTCTGTAAGTATTGTCTCGATTAAGCATAATCGTTCGAGAAATCTAATTGAATTGCACCCTAATTAGATGTGACCCACCCCGAGTATCCATTTAAAACAATGTAACTATTTGGCGAAATAGTTATTTCCTTTAAATGTTATACTGAGCTTCTTAATACTATAATTAAAAAGCAATGTCCACGAGAACCTTAAAAATATCGCAAAAATTATTAGAACTGTCTCAAAAATTCTGTTGTATGTATGAATTGTTATCATGAAACTGCAGCTAAATATTACTGGAATCTGAGTGAGACTGAGTTTGTTACACTATACGTTATCTATAGAAACAACAATAATAAATTTATAAAAAAATATGAAAAACTTTAACAGCTAATTTCAATATTTTGACTGTAATTTTCAGCTAATTTGATGTCAAATTATATCAAGAAAACACTAATTAAATTATAAAATTAATCTGTTAGTTCACAATTGTTAAAATTAAGTCGCTTATGAGCTGTTAAATTCAAAATTGCATTCCCTTTAATTTATTACTCAATCTCACAGTATTATCTGTAAATTATAGAACCAAAAAATTAATGCTAGGGTACTGCATTAATCAATTCTCATGGACTTAAAGTTTAAACCAAAATTGATGGCTGAGGCTTCGTATTAATAAGATTAACAACGGAATCGGTTTTTTTTTTAGATTAGTAACTTAGGTTTATGTTATTTGTCATTCTTGTATTGGAGTTGAGCGTAAATGTTTGTTGAAATCGTACCCAAATTGTTTTTGTACTAAAATCCTTTAAAAAAACGAGAACGGAGGTTATATCTCGTTTGGTAACTAGTGCTGTAAGAAGCTAATGTATTGTAAATTAATCGCTTTAGCCCGTAATATAAAATTTATTTATTTGTCATACAGAATAATCTGAAAGATTGTTTAATAACGCAATATAATTGTGTAATTCTTTGCACAAATTGTTATATTGTTCGTACGATTCTATTCTACCCTTAAGTGATTTAAATTAAATATATTGTGCTTCCAATGCACAATATTTAATCGTTATATATTTATTTACTATGTTATAGAGTTGCTAAACGAAGTTTACTAATATAGCGTCGTATGTAATCTGAGAAAACTTAATATATGTTAAACCGAATTTCGTTAACAGTAACTGTATCCACTTAAGTATGATTATAATCTCTTATTTACAAAAAAAAATGTTTTATTTCAACCCCAACAATACATACCAATCTATAAATTTTCTAGAATACGCTCTACGTCACACGAACATGTTGTCGTATTAAAATGAAACACAATAACGGTTTAAAACGCGATATATTTTAGATAAACTGGTTTGAAAATGATTTTTAACTTCGGCCCGACGTTTCCGATGCTTTGCAGCAGCCGTGGTCACGGGGAGACTGTAATAATTTTTAAACAAGTTTAACTAAAGTGTTTAATTTCATGCTTATGCTATTAGGCCACTTTTAATTATCTATCACAAATCAGTAAAATCAAAAAATACGTTCTGGGTGCAATTAAGGAGTGAGTTTGGATGTACCAGTTAGTTGGATACTGAGAAATCCCTGCTTTGGCTCAATGAAACTTTTTCTTTTCAAACCCACGATCTAACGTTTCACAGGAAATAATTTACAGGTTATGAAAATGCTTATAAATAAATATACATCAGTGAAACAGGCTTGTGTTTGCCCCATTGGACATTACGTGATTTCAAACACAAACTATCAATATTTGATTTAATATGTTCTACTACAGTTGAGCATAGTTTTTGCTACCGCACTGCTAAGGGCGGGTTGAAGAATTTTTGACGAAGACTAAATATAGAGACTTCCACCGACGGTTATTGTCGAAAAAATGAGAAAAGTTAACTTAATTGTATTTTTATAAATGTAAAAAAATACTATACGTTAATTTGGTTTAATATACTGTAGCCCCTGTGGCCTAATGGATAAGGCATCGGCCTCCTAAGCCGGGGATTGAGGGTTCGAGTCCCTCCAGGGGTACATTTATTTTATTTTATAATCAGTATCAAATTACAAATATTAATGCGATTAAGAATTTTTCGTATTTACTTTTCACTACAGTGACATTATTACTTTTTCAACTTTTTTTTGATCCTTTACAACTGGATTTGTTATGTAAGCCTTTACGAAAACCCTGATGATTCTTTCCTCGGTTCGACGAAGTAAATGGTCCTAAAGAAATTTTATTGGGATCCGATATCACGTTTGGGAATACTTTTCTTCCCCTTGGTAACGGCTTCCTATAAATCTTTAAAAATATATCGATCTTAGTAAAGAGAAATGAAGACATGGCTTTGAGAAATTGGTGCAAAATATGTTTACTGCATTAAACTTAGTACTCCTCAGAGTTCAAAACAAAAGAAATTGCAATTTAACTTAATATGTTCTCAATGTAGGAATGTGTTAAGTAAAGAGACGAGAAAAGATCTTTCCTATTCCTTAGATTAAGTAACAACGTTTTTTAAACCAGAGATTTTCTATGCAGCATCCGTGGTCTCTCCGTGACCATGACTATTGCAAAGCATCCGAAACGTCGGGCTGAAATTAAAAATAACTTTCAAATAAGTTAAACTAATATATAACAGATTTTGAACCGTTAATTTGTTTTATTTAAATGTGTACTACTCATTTTTTCTATGTTTCTTTTGTATAAATTTAATTTAATTAAAATTCTTTATTCAAATGCGTACTCTTCGAAGAAAGATTCTTCTAGGCTTTTATTTGGTCGTCGTACTTCTTTCCAAATGAATAACAATGTCTTTATGTTATTGCATCATTTTGACAAGCAGCGATACATTAATGTGTGGATGAATTTTCTTCATAAATTAAGAATTGAAAAAATTCTAATCAAGGTTGAAAAAAAATTCGAGAGACGCCGGTTCAAGTCCTGCCCGAGTTCTATTTTTTTCCAAATTATTTTCGATTTTTAATTTATATAGTGTCATCATGTGCAAGTTTTTAATTTTCTTCCTCCAACAAAACTTTTTGAATCATACAGACAGACAGAAGAAGATGATGCTGATGACGACGAAGAAGAAGAAGATGGTGATGATGATGAAAATGTTTAGAATAGGTACTATCTTTAAAATGTCATTGACCTTTACAAAAATTGTCTGTCTCCGCTTCGCTCGGGAAGAGCCTAATTCAAGTAATAAGTATCAATTAAGCAGTTTTATAAGAAATGTTCCTAATTAAAAGCATTACCTCTTAAAGGTGAAACTTATTTCTGCTATCGTCCTTGCTGTGACGTCATTGTCATCAATTCTCGTTTCATTTTACAAACAAATTAATACATATTAATAATGGTTGGTATTTTTAACAGGATCAAAGGAAATATTACTACCCTAAAAATAAGCCGTAAATATAGTCACAGCAGTTGATTGTTGTCGACTATATTTACTGTTATCAATCGATTTCGATCTCCAATTTTAATATGAGGATATAATTTAAATAAAACGCTTTAACGATTTAAAACGCGGTATATATTAGTTAACTTATTTGAACACTATTTTAACTACAGCTCGACATTTCGGATGCTCTGCAGTAGCCGTGGTCAAGAGAAGTTTTAAACCGTTAAAGTGTTTTATTTAAATGTGTACACCCGCGTAAAATACAGACAGTGTAGGGATATAATTCATTCGTGACGTCAAGGTTTCAATTCTCTCCGATGAAAATAAACCTGTTACGTCCTAGAACCCAAAAGCTTCACTTACGTCATCTGCCACATCTATGTACATCTGTTAGCCAGTATTAAATGAATGCCTCGAGATTTGTACAAGAATTGTTCACGGGCGGATAACGAAGTAAGGGATTCATCTATTTAATATATAGAGCGTTTGTTTTTTGTTCGAACGCCGAGAAACTACGGGTTCGAATTAAGAAATTAATTTTGTGCTGCTAAGCAACGTGCTCTAAGGAGCATTTGTGGAGGACGGTTATATGCTATAAACATTGCGCTGTGACTTATAGTGAGTGAAGGAACGGCGAAAAATGTGGACAAAACGGGGGAGTTATACATATTTTTGGGTTTCCGGTGCGTATGCTGCGAAAACGGTGCAAGACGCCCAAAAATATGTATGATAGAACGATTCCTCTTTAAATGATGTAAAAAAATGTCCGCGTCTACCTTTTAAGTTTAACTTGCAAGAACGACAGGACGCAACCGACGTCCTGGACAACAGTAAATTATAGATGTATATAATATTATATGCGGACGAAGTCGCTGACACGGCTAATAATTAATAATATAACAATTGTATGAGACAGTAAATAAATAAGCAAGAAAGAACTAAGTTAATAAAATACAGAAATACAAAAGTGGGCGCAAAATCTTACACGTGTAATTAGCATGTTATAAGGAAAGCTGTAAGAATATGGCATTTTTGTTATATTTTTGTTTAAATTACGAAAGATATTTCCTTTATAAAGGCAAAACATGGAATAGCTTTTCTCGCTTGTGACAGACTTTATTACAGAACCTTTTTCATAACTGAAACTGTACTTAATACTTGAAATATTTAAGTAAATCCTAATGTGACGTAAAGCTTTCCTATTTTTATCATATTGTTAGTTTAATGTGTGAAATTTTCTCTGTCATCATATTACAATTCTTTTGAGAAATATAAATTGAGAATTTCATTGTTGTATTCGTTATAATTATACATGCAGACATTTATATTTGACACACGCTTAAGCGATAACGTTTTCACTTGCGCTTGCGCTTGCGCTTTATTTATGTTACACTAATGTTGTAACATAAATAAAGCGCAACTTAGTATTAGTAAGGTGGTATATAAATTACATAACACTGGCGGGACTTGAATCTGGAACTACACCAAGAAAACTGCAGCGACGAGATTCTTTACTCACTTACTCAGTACGGATAGCTGCGGTGGTTCGAGTTGCACCCGTGTTATCGACTTTCTTGAATCATAGATTTTATTTCTTCAAAACTAAAATAAAAACACTTAGTCCGGGACTTTAGATAATATAATGAGGAATCATTTTATCTATATATTTTCGTCGGAAAACCACTGATGAAAATTTTCTCATTTTTTTTTCACATTTCCCGCTGCCTCTTAGCTTCCATTTGCCACAGCGCTATGTTTTGCCTATAACCTTCCTTAATAAATGTTCTAACTAAAGCAGAGACTTTTTCAATTCGAACCAGTAGTTCCTGAGATTAGCGCGTCCAAACAAACTAACTCTTTAGCTTTATATATTAGTATAGATTTTAGAGGAATTAAAATAAACATTTTAAGGTTTAAAACTCGAAATATATCAGTTAAATTTACTTATAAGTTTTGTTTAAATTATACAGAATTACTTGTAAAAAATAACAATGTTCCAAGTATATTTCACACTCAATTTTCTGATAAGCTTAATAGCTCATTATTTTGCGGCCATTAAACCCCGGTCACGGCCTATTTGTGGATATTTAAATTAATAATTACGTGATGCGGTTTACATTATTAGGCATCCGTTGTTTAATAGAATAATTCAGATTACACTTTTGAACACATTTATTGTCAACGTTGCTATGATGTTTATTTGTTAATCTATACAAATATTATAAAGCTGATAAGTTTGTTTGTTTGTATGTTTCAACGCGCTAATCTTAGGAACTACTGGTTCGAATTGAAAAAGTTTGTGTTAGTTAGAATATTTACCGAGGAAGGCTATAGGCTATAAAACATCGCGCTGTGACTAATAGGAGCGGAACAACAGCGGGATATGTGGAGTCGTCTTTGTAGTAATCCTATGTGTACCCTGAGAAAATGCTTCAAGACATCCAAAACTCTATGAAAGAATAATTCCTCTTTAAATAATGTAAAAAAATGTCAGCGCCACTATAGAGATAACTAACTACGTAAGTACTGTCTATAGTTTACGCGAGTAGTACACATTTAAATAAAACACTTTGACGGTTTAAAACGCGATATATTAGTTAAACTTATTTGAAAATGATTTCCCCGTGACCACGGCTGCTGCAAAGCATCCAAAACGTCGGACCGAAGTTAAAAATCATTTCGAAATAAGTTTAACTAATATATCGCGTTTTAAACCGTTAAAGTGTTTTATTTAAATAACTACGTAAGATTCACTTGCAAGAATAACGGGACGCCAACGACGGGTCGCGAGCGACGGGACGCGACCGATATCGTCGCCAGTGGGTACTGGGTGGCTTAAATTAATAAAAATTAAGACGATGCCCAAAATAACCATTATACGCGGACAAAGTCGCTGACACAGCTAGTAATTAATAATCGTTTTATCCACCCATATCATCTGTTCCACAAAAACTAGACCTTGCTGCTTAAGTGCAGTTTGACAAGCAATACCAACGGCGAAACGTCATGCTTTCGTGGTAGAGGGCAGGGACGCCCTTCTTCTAATTCATCGACTTATAATTAGAAAGAATGTTCGACCTGGTAGGAACCGAGCTCACTCCTTACTATATTATTAGTTTTATTGTCACAATAAGACTTCTCGTCTACAATCTCATCTCCTAAATCTTAAAACAAAGCAAGGTTGTAATAAAACAATTTGTAATAATGCATTTTATTTTAATAGACAACTTTGCATTACACTTTGCTTATTGTGAAATTAACTGCAGGAGATTTTTGGTCTTACATTAAAATGTTTTACAATTTTAATTAATGACTAGAAGATTTCTTTGGTATTATATTAAACATTTATTGCGCTATTATAAATAAATTTAATTAATTAATTATTAATGCTTATCTATTTATAGCTATTATGTTATCCATACTAATATATAAAACTGAAGAGTTTGTTTGTTTGAACGCGCTATTCTCAAGAAGTACGGGTATGTATTGAAAAATTATTTTTGCGCTGTATCTAATAGAACCGAAGATACAGCAGGGATTTTTTTTATTTCTGTGGGTTTCAGATGCGTACACTGCGAAAACGGTTCAAGATACCTAAAAAATGTGTATAAAAGAATGATTCCTCTTTAAATGATCTAAAAAAATAGTCCGCGACGCTATGTCTATCTTTTAAGATTAACTTGCAAGAACAACGGGAAGGGACCCGATCGACGTCGTGGCTAACAAAAGTTTATAAAGATGTCGGGGTCTGCAAACTCATTTGGATACCGAAAATAACGTTTCTCGCGGACGAAGTCGCTGGCACAGCTAGTATGATATATAACTAAAGGGGAAGCATAAAGTTTTAACAGTAGTGTTTGAATACTGCCTGTATTTTACTCGGGTAGTAGGTACACATTTAAACAAAACTCTTTAACGGTTTAAAACGCGATATATATTAGTTAAACTTTTTTGATAATTAATTTAACTACGACCCGACGTTTCTGATGCTTTGTAGCAGTCGTGGTCAGCGGGAGACACGTTTTAAGTCTAACTAATATATATCGCGTTTTGAACCGTTAAAGTGGAAAAAGGCAATGAATTACTACATTAGTTGATATAGGTTTTCATTTCTAGAAATACACAGTTATTGGAAGAAGATGTAGCAGAACAACCTGATTATACATTAAAACAATTATAACCGGTGAAGACGCGAATTTTTCCTTTACAAATATTACCACGACCGTTCGGATGCTTCACCCGTTATCAATACTCAAATAATAAGGGAAAAACGCAGACTTTTTGTCCGATAACGCCCTGAAACAAAATTTCTAATTATACTGAAAAACTTTAGGAAAACTATATCTTTTATTACGACAGACATAAAGGCAAAGGGGTCTCTATTTAGTACATATATACAAAATACTAGACTACATAGGAAGATTATTTACATGAGATAATTACAATTGACCAATTTAGTCATTTAGATAAATTTCAGTTGACATTAAAAACACTGTGGATAAATATTTACATATTCTAAATTTTATCTTTATTTCTTTGTAGACTACATACAACTTACCTGTGATAAAATTTAATTTTTACTTTTATTGTGTATATATATATATGATAATAATTTATGATATTTAACAAAGTTATTTTCTAAATACTGTCTGTAATTTACGCGAGTAGTAAAAATTTAAATACACCACTTTAACGGTTTAAAACGCCATATATAATTA